AACCCTGGAGGCGGAAATTGCAGTGAGCTGAGATGGCGCCACTGCACTCCAGCCTGGGTGTCAGAGCAAGACTCTATCAAAAAAAAAAAAAAAAAGAAAGAAAGAAAGAAAAAGAAACGAAACCAGCCTTGCTGACAACTTGATTGCAGACTCTGGCTTCTAACACTGTGAAGGAGTTTCTGTTGTTTTCAGCCCCAAGTGTGCAGTGCTTTGTTACAGCAGCCACAGTCCACTCATACACCCTCCCTCCAAAAAAAAATGTAAAGTGCTCTTGTAGAAAAATTGCAAGATTAGGATTTAAGTGCAGCACCCGTGAGCAGAGAAGCTGTCTGTGCCTTTCAGTTTCCCAAGTACAATCTGATGGACACCTGGCTTGAAGAAGGGGAAAGATCACTCCCCGCCACACCCCACCCCCAGATGCTGAGAAAGCCCTCAGGCCAGGTTAATTTTTAGAAGGCTTCATACCCCAATTCTAGCCAGCCTCACACTGTCAAATAGCAGGAAGAAGCCCTGTGAGGAAGCCTCAGGGTGGATTCACAACATCCCGTTCCCAACCAGGGCAGCTTGGAGGAGGGCAGGAAGGCAGGCCCGGGTGCTGGGGAGTCAACTTCCAACTTTGTTTCCTTTGCTACAATTGCAGGGTTAATGCCCAGGGCTCTGACATCCTAGGAAATTTCCAGAATCTTGTAAAACAAGTAGAGTCGTCTGTTCTTCATAATTGGGGCCAGTGTAGGAAACGGCATCACAAACTTCTGGAATGTGATGAAACAGCCACCACCGGCCACACTGAGCAGCAACACTCTTGGTGAAGACAAGAGCATGCTTCGGTGTTGGAAAAAGAAAAGTGCTCGTGTGTGAAGCATCCTTCCATCAGACCACGAGGTGGTCATGACGACTCCAAACTCAAAGTAGTAAAAGGGGAAAAAAATGGATAAATGTGACTACACAAAGAAAAAAAAACTTCTAGGCCGGGCACGGTGGCTCAAGCCTGTAATCCCAGCACTTTGGGAGGCCGAGACGGGCGGATCACGAGGTCAGGAGATCGAGACCATCCTGGC